AACTATTTTTGCTAATAATTGTCCATGGCTTTCGGGCAAAAGCTATTTATTTAAGTTCAAACGCAACATTAACCAATACTTTAACAATTATATACATGAAAATTATAAAAGTCATTTAAAACGTGATAATGATTATACAAACACATCTTCACCCTGGTTACTTTTTTGTTGTTTTATTTGGGTATTTTGTTTGTTTTCTTATCTTTAATCTTGTATTATTGCTATTTTTCATTTTCTAACATGTCTGTACTGTGTAAAATAAACAATCATGTGGCCCTCCTAGTGGTCAAATAAGGAACTTCTTATCTCATACACAACGTGCACATACAAATGCACTCATGCACACTGTCATCCATCATTTTTAGTCCTTCTGTTGCCATGGCGCCCCAGGCCAGGGCTAATAGGAAGCAGTCAGTTTACTGTAAGGGGATGATGCGTGACAGACACATACCGTAAAACATAGACACCGCTGCCACTGGGCTGTCTCTTGAACTATCCATGCTCCACAGGCTAATGGCCCACTAACGGTTCCCTACTCCCAAGTGAACATCCCCATTTACATATGCGCTTGGTCTGCTGACTAAATTTGGTGTTAGAAAATCATTGCAGCGTCCAGTGTTCCTCCAGCTTGAAAGATGCAGAGCTGACGATGCAGACAAGGTTTTATAGAATCAGCCTGGATCGAGTTCGTTGTGTTGGAATGCAATGCTGCCGTGTCAAAACAGTATCTCTCAGGCTTCCTCGCACATGCAAATCTTACTGTTTTAGCAGCCACATCGTGTGATATTGAAGACATTGGGAACCTGTAAAGCTGCTGTTGTGTTTTCTGTCGGGATTCACCCAAGAATGAAAAAGTACAGCGCCCTGAAGTCTGTCTGATTCAAAAAGTTAGCCATTGAACTGCAACTGTTGGTCTTCTTAGATGCAGATGACTGTACTGCTCCTGTCAAATAAGTACAAATTTAGGAGAAAAATGAAAATCAGAATATATAATTCAAAAGTCTATTCACTTATAAAACTCAATTTACAATCCAAAACTGCCACAACAACTTCTTTACAAATAAACTTGCCTTGCCAAAGCGAGATACATCAAACTTTTATTTGTTATGAAGTGGATAATTATCACTCAAAACTATAAAAACCATATTGTAAATCTTAAACAACCACATCATAACAAACTACAGGCTTGGGAAAGGTCTCTCTGAATGTAATGAGTCTGTATCATTTATCGGTTTCAGATTTTAAATTGAAACAGAACCACTGGGTTAACCAAATGTGTCATTGGCAGTTGTGTAATATCTCTCTATATTGATCGATTGTGTTTAATTTTTTTACACCTCTCACTATAGTCATTCCATATAATTTGAATTAAACACATTTTTTACATAGTTTGCATGATTGGTTTAGGCGATGAAAACGGCAGAAAGTCCTAAGAAGCTCTGAAGTTGTGTTTTGTCCTTTCCAATTCTTTCTTTCTTATTTTTCTTGTTTTTTTCTACCTGAGATGTTGCTGCAGTACAGTGTTCGTGGTTTTACACTGGTCCAGGCCCGAGTGGAGAGGATTCCTGGACCGAAAACAAGCGGATCAGGTGAAAATCCACTGGAGGAAGCTTAACTTTTTGAAGAAAAAAAAAATCAAACAAAGAATTCAGCATTTTACTTTGGACTAGAACAGAGAAAATGGTCGAACCAAGCAGCAGCACCATCTCTGCTGCTGTGACCTAAAGTTCTGTTGCATTGTAAGACTTTTGTTAGCTATTTTTAGAATGATTTATTTTGTCATTTTTTTTGTGTGGATGGATGTGTCTCTGCTGCTACTGGACATGTGAAATTCTCCTCTGAGGGATCAATAAAGTATCTATCTATCTATGAGACACCCATCGTCATGTGCCGTTCATTTACTGACCCAAGGCTGTCTCCTCTTTGTGTTTCCTTCGTTAATTGGAAGAGAGAGAATGTTGCATGGGAAAGTGTGGGAGATGGGTGGAGTGAGAATGCAGGGAAAGACCAGACCTTGACAGGGATAATTCTGCTTAAGTCTGTGAAAACATCTAGTGAGAGAAAGCTGGAGGATATTGAAGCGTGGCCCGGCTCTGACCTTGTGCACACAGGAGAACACCGACACAAAGCTCAAGGTAATGTTAAAACAACATTCTTCCCACTGCTGCGTTGAAACATTTTTTGCAGGTCCCAGAATTAAATATGATTATGTAGCTTGTCAAATATTATTTCAAGTTGTTTGAACTCGCCCACTTCCTAACGAGGTTCTGCCAGGGAGGACACATTTATCAATATGGAAATAATGGAATCCCCAAATGCCTCATTCTACTGCTATAAAGTTCAATTCAATAAATCAATACTTAGAAATGTGTTGAAACTTGTTGTTAATATAGTTATTTCTTTTCAGCCAGTCATCATTTGTATACATCCAAAAACAGACAATAATTTCATAATTAATTAAGATATGAGCGGAAAAAGTTGCCACTGCTGCCTTGGGGTGAACTGATGCTGCCAATCTGAGCCATCGGCCTCTGACCACGCACACACACCACTGGTTCTTATATCACTACATGCCCAGACCAATACCAAACAGTCTCCAACAGAGCAGAGGAGGAATCGATGACTGGACTGGAATGCACATGTAGAATACAGAATCTTCAAATAAAACGAACACAGCTCCTCATCGCTACATGACACCCACAAATAAACTCATTTATCTTCATAGTGTTTTCAGATGCACTGGTTTCAGACCATCCATTATTATCAGTGAGCTGAGTTATGGTCACACAATGTACAATTATTGCCTGCATTTGTCTGTATAACGCAGAAAACGAGTGTGTGTGGTGTAATCTGCAGTTATTATTGTGGCTCAGTCATAACCAGGTGATGGAGCAAGTCATGATTAAATACTTGGTCTTGATTTATAATCATATAGTGCATGTGTTTGGCTTTGGAAGCAATTTACACAGAAGAACGATGTTAAGATTGTTATTTATTATTTTTCTGACTATTCAAAACAATATCTGATATATTTCCAACCCTTTCGCAGTTTCTCTTACGCAAATCAATCTTTTTTGTAGAGTGTAGTGGCCAAAATTTGCATGCAAAAGCAAGATCCTGTCAGACCTCTGAAGCTAAGCAGGGAATATGGCGGCACAGTGCATGGCTGAGTGGCTAGCACTCCTGCTTCTCAGCAAGAAGGTCTTGGGTTCAAATTCCAGTCGGAACAAAGCATGTCTGAGTGGAGTTTGCATGTTCTACTCGTGTCTGCATAGGTTTTTCTTCCTATAGGTCTGGCATGCGCCTCCTGTACTGGCAACCCATCTCTGTGTGGAGTAAGAGACAAATGTCCACAACAATTGTAAAACGCTTTGTAACTCTGGTCTGAGAAA